TGAAAAACATATATTGTCTTCCATGTATTATGTCTGACAAATTCATATAAATCTAAAATTTATTTGATTTATCGTATGTTCTATAGTTTACACGAATAATAAATATCAATTTTATATGTAAAAGATGTTGAAATAAAGAATATTTGCATATATTTAAACTGATAGCATTAGCATATATTTGATCAAAAGTATTCAACTTTATAACATTTATGTACAATACATATCATTTTTGTATATTTACATATATTATAAATCATATGCTTTGTCATATACTTTAAAATATTAAAAAATTATATATGTTAAAATCGATTAATCAATGAGCGTGGGACAAAATCCAGTTAAAAATAACTAATCAAACAATGTGTTAATAACTTTATTTTTTAATATTTATTAGTTAATAAGAATATTGTTGGTATTTAGGAAAAAAAAATATTTTAAACAATAAAAAATAGAGAATTTAGCCTAGTTATTTAAAAAAAAAGGTTATTATATGTAAAAAGGAATTTATTGGTTGCTCTTTTTGTAAGTTGTTTTTTTTTTTAACAAGGGCTCTTTTAGTAAGTTTTTGATACAAGAAAAATTCGTAAAAACTAAATGTCTTACAATAAGAGAAATCGTTAGTATTTAGATCCCCTTCAACTCCAAAATATCCCCCTTTATATACCGGAAGGCTTGGAGTGCTGGAGAAGGGCTTTATGAAAGTGTATGCTTAAATGAGTTTTAGAATTCATCTCGATCCTACTTGTGCCTATTGTGATTCGATGGTCCCAGAAACTATATGCCATGTTCTCTTCAACTGCCACGTTGCTAGAGAGACTTTGGATTTGGCCAATATCCCCCTTCTACGGGCTGGGTTCTCCAATAATTCGGTCTTCTTGAATATTCATCATCTTTTAGCTTGTAACCGGAACCGCTTTGGGTTCTTGTGGATCCTTTGTCATATTTGGAAAGCTCGGAATGCGCGGTTGTTTAAAAACACCCGAGACGAACCTCTGGTCATTTGTCTAAAGCTTTGAAAGATCACTACATATGGTCCAATCTCAATGGCTCTGAGCTCTTCGGGCTAGACAGGGTTCCTGAGCTTTAGCTTCGTCACGTTGGCAAAAACCTTCTCCTAATGTGGTTAAATGCAATATGGGTGGGGCCTGGTGCGCCGAGAAGAAAGACGGTGGAGCTTTATGTTTAATACATGATCACACAGGCAAAGCTCTTCTACATGGTCGGCGCTCCTATGCAATCTTTCCTTTGAAATCGAAATGGAACTGTGGAGTATAACATGGGCAATTGAGTCCCTCGCATCGCTGAAATTTCGTAGGGTGATCTTTGAAGCCAATTTTCTTCAAGCTCGTGATGCTTTGCTTCACCCCAACATTTCCCTAGGTTCCATGGATTGTTACATCGTATTTACTCCTTATTACAGTCCTTTGAATCTTGGAGTTTGGTCTATACGTCAGCTGCTTGTAATCGCATTGCCAGAGAGATAGCAGTCAGTGTCATTCGGGATGGTCAGCACCAATCCTACATCGCTCGAGAGGGCCCAAACTGGCTTGCCCATCTTATTGCGTTGGAAGCTTCTAATTCATGAGTATCAAGCCTTGTGTGGTGATGTTGGAAGCCACATATAGATTGGAATGTTACCTTTACAACTCTTGCTGGAGAGTTTAGTTTCTTTGAACCTTGATGGTGCCTACTGGCATTGTGTTGCTTTGCCTCTTTTAGAAGGTCTTCTTCAAACTCTTTGTCTCATTTGAATTTTGGAATCAAAAAGCGTTAAAAAAAATCAATATGAGTTGATACAAATGTTCATCTAAGGAGTTAGAAGCTGATGGTAAAGCAGCTGAAACATGAAGATGCAGCTGAGTTGAAGCAGTTCCTGTATCAGTGCAGAGTACTACAGGAAGTGCTACAGACGGACAGCTGATGGAGAAACGGATTGGGCTTTAAGAGATGGGCTTGGGCTCACGACTCAAAGCCTTGGAGAACGAATCTACAAGGTAAGTGACAGAAAATATACTTAGCTTGGAGAGGATTTAGGAAGAAGAAGATTTCCATTTATCCTTAACAAAGATTATGATAAGATGGATATTCGGGAAGATTTGATATCTTCCAAAACTTGGGGAAGAAGGCTAGGATTAGCCGTCAAGTCTTATTGTGTATAAATAGGAGTGGAAAAACGTGGGTGTACGTTCAACACAAGGCTAGGATT